GATTGAAGTAATTTAAGACAATATTTCAGACAAAAATAAATGATTTTTAGGTAAATATGGAGCTGCAATTACATCATTGATATTAAAAACATTTATATCTATTTATGGAATAAATTCCCTTATACGAGAAAATATGATTAATATCATAGCATATATCTTACTTCGATTATTTTACTTAATAGTTATTAATAAAATTAATTGAAATGCGTGTATGTTAATTTTGAATTATAAAATATTAAAAAGCCAATAAAGACCTGCTTTTTAAATGAAAACCGGTCGTTTGGATAAAAAACCAGCCGACATTTTTTTTTTCTTTCTCTTTTCAGAAAATATCGGCTTTTTTACAACCTTATCTTAGCTGGAAATCTCTGCTCTATAAATATAAATTACAAAATCTTGACTTCCTTTTAAAGTGATAACGATATAGCCCTTAAATATTAAAGTTTATGTTCTTTTACCCTGTATTTTAAATTACCGAATGGGATGCCCATAGATTAATTTAAAACTTAAAAAAGATTATGACATTTTAGATTTAGTATAACTGTGCGATATTTCTTAGACATCGCGATAAAGATACATTACAAAGTATTCTCATGGTCAGTCGTGAGCACCATGTCCTACGATAAATATCAAATGTGTGTTATCGACTACGGTAATTATCGAATTCGTTAATATGGCGATTGTTATCGAAGACGATAGTTAAGTAAGTATTGGTAAATTTCATTTTGGTTACGAAAATATTGCCCTGTATATAGAAATCGCTTAAATTTGAACAAATCACGAGAATTGATGTTTCTTGACAATATATCGCATTATTAAAATGCTGATATATCGCTGCACATAAAATTATTTTAGTTTTAAATTATTTGTTAACATGCATTAATTTTGCCCCAAAATTAAAAAATAATATGATTAAAAAAAAAAAATTCCAACAATTTTTGAAAGCATCCTTTTCCACAGTAAATCCCACAATAGTTTTAATAAATAAGAAAATATATATTATTTTTAAATAAGGAAACTTTTCTAAATAATCTTTCTCTCAACTATCAACCTCTGCTGCCATCTTTGTTTTCTGAAATCATGATCATGGCGTGTTTAAGTCGATAAACACGCCTTAAATATGCCTTGTTAACTCATTTTGTTTCAAATATTTAGTTGCGGAAGTTAAAATTGAAAAATTATTGTCGTATTTAAGGTAATAAATTAAGCAAAAATTTTAAGCGAACCACTTTTTGAAACCAGTCTTTTCCGAAAGTTATAAGAGAAAACAAATTAAAAGAAAATAAAATGAAATTTTTGGGGAAGGAAGATTCTCTGCATTAATTTCTCTTCTTTTTAACCTTCACTCAATACGAACAACCTCCGCTGCCATCTTTGTTTCAACCTCAATTCATGATAATGCCGTTTTTAAGTCGATAAGCACGCCTTTGAATACGTTTCACAAAACTTGCCACTTTGTTATCAATCCTTAATTCCTCAAGTCAAAAGTATGAAGGAAATTCTTGAAGTTATGTAAAAAATAGTAGCGAGATGTACTAATTTAAAACAATTTTAGTTTAATATTTGAAATTTAATGATGCATTTAATTTATAGATATGCGGTATTAGTAATTTGTAGTAATTTTTTTTTGCTGTATTTAATGAAGTAAATAAAACTATAATAATTAAATAGCTTTAAAAAAAAAAAACTCTTCCGATCTGAGTTCTTCAAGTAAAAATAATTATAATGAAAAGCAGAGAAAATTCATTTAGAATTGTTCGAGAGGAGAGATTCTCGACTTTTCTTTTCAACCTTCACTCAAAGCGATCAGCCTCTGCTGCCATCTTTGTTTTAACCAGAGATCATGACGTTTTTAAGTCGATATAAGCACGCCCTGAAAACGCATCTTAAATTACTTGTGTCACTTTGTTATCACCAATTCTTAATTTCTCTAGTTCAAATATTTACGTGTTTTTAGTGAAAAATAAAAATTCTTTATTGTCATATATTATACTATATAGGATTTTACGATTTAATTAAAAAAATATATATATGCGTAATTATAATGATTGTGCGCAGAAAATATTTTAACGATTCTTATTGCTTTAGTTTATCGACTGTCAACAAGCGTAATGAAGCGAGAACTTGAAACTCCATTTTTTTTATTTTTTTTTATAACCGGTTACGTTGCCCGTCTACGACCGCTGCGACACGCCAAAGCTATACCAGAGAGATTACAGCTTTCTCTTTTTCCCACTTCAGTTAAGTTATACCTGCGTGGTTTCGCATCGTAACGTTCTGTTAAAATAAAAATGAAAAAGTAAATAAATAAAATAAAAAAACTTATTCAGACTATTGCATCCCTACAGGGGCTCCTTGAATTCACTTTTGTGGACCCCTCTGCTTTTGCTTAATTTACTTGCTGCAGTCAGTGAGATAGATACTAACAGGGTTGCCGTTTCTCGTTAAAGGAGGGGGGGGAGTTTATCATCGATGCGAACTGCATTGTTATTCGAGAATTTTATTTTTTTGTTCGTGAGATATTTTTAATATACCATTTTAAAAGCGCTTACTTATCAATTTGTATTCAATTACCTATTATCAATTTGCTATAACAATTATAGTTTAACATATTTTATTTTAGACTATAAAAATGTATTTTCTATGGTCGTCAAAAGCGTCCATTTTTTTTTTTTGAGTTGGAGGAGACCTAAATAAAGACGCGCATTTTCAATAGTTAGCTAAATTACTCTCATAAAAAAATTTTCGATTTTTTTTTTCTTCTCTTCTCTGCTTTTGCTTCTACTAAAATATTAATTAATTTTAATTTGTTACTTAACTAAATTTAAATCGATGAAAAAAGAGCTCTTTATTTGCCTGAAGTATTAAAGACGTGAATTTATAGAGATTTCCAGCCATTGAGAAGAACATACAACGCGCCACTCCTTTCCCCCTCCCATCAATGGCGCCTATGATGCATTTAAATGTTATTTTCTGATTTTTTGATTTAAAGATTTTTTTTAACGGCTTAACTATAAACAGTTTTATCTAGAAAAACAGATGCATCCAACTTTAGTTATTTTTCGTCAAGCACGTATTAATTATAATTGGTTGAAGATAGATTTCTTTAAGAGAAAGTAAAAATAAAAAAAAATGGCGATTATACTTTTTAATTCTTAGAATTTAAGTAAAGCTCGCTATTACTGAGACGGAAACTGTTATCGCGGCGATAATTTCATCCGTATAAATTTATTTATTTCTGTACATGTTAATGTTATCGCAACACTTGTGAAACCTACCTGTGATAAATAATATACTGCGTCAGTTACAGTACGTATAAAGATTCTTTTTCAAGGTTATTGCGGATATATTGATTACATAAAATTGTCACATTATACATGTATTAAGTTTTTTTTTTTGTTATTAGTTCAGTTATTCCATATTTATGATTCATTTACTATGCCCTATTGCTTCTCATGAAGAACAACTACAGATATTGATTTCAGCTGGGCGATGTAATGATATATATTGAAATATTGATATTTTCAAATCGTTGAATATAAAGGATATCAGTATTTTATATCGTGAAATATTGATATCATGGCTGGTCGATACGCATTCGGCTTACACCGACCACAGTGCTGACGTAAAATATCCTCAGGGATCATGGGTTAGAGTCCCCTTGCCGTCAGACTAACCGTGGGAGGTTCTAGTGGTTTTCCTCTTCCTATAACGCAAATGTGGGTTAGTTCCATCAAAAACTCCTCCACGAAGGCAAATTTCTCCCAATATTTGATAGCAAGTAGTTCCCTTGTCTTCTGGATTGGGTTCAAAACTACAAGGCTACGGAGTTGAACATTAGTAGTCGTAAACCCAAAAAATTGGGTCGGCTGTTCAACGACGGTTATAAAATAAAATAAAAACTATCTCAACCATGATAATTTGAAAAGTATTCTTGCGATATGTCATAGATACCATGTCTTACGATAAATTAAGACAATTTTTGAATAGGATAATATAGCCAACATTATCGATAACTATGTAGATAATACGAATTTATCCGTAGTCATTTGGGTAACGGAAAAATTTGGCCTAATATCGCGATATATAGTTATAATTATTTCCTGCGTTGAAAATGTTTATATAGATACGGAATTAAAATGCCTGTTCCACTTTTGACTAATTGCCTTTCACGGTTTTATAATATCATGAATATTACATGTTTTTTGGGCGTCATCTCATGGCTGTTTATTTGTTCTTGAGACTTACTATCTAAGCGGGTAGATTTTGCTTTTGTGTTCCAAATTAAGAAAAAATGTTGCTTTATTCTCCATTTTTGTATTAGTAGTGTGACACTCCCACTCCTACAAGACGCACTGCAGACAGCTCTCTTGGGTTAAGTTTGGGTGTCGCGCAAGGCCTCTTGTGTTTTTCCTGCTAGCTCTTCCGGAGTAGGTTGTGGGCTAGCTTTGCTAGCAATTCTTACCATCTCTCTCTCTCTTCTTCATCCCTTTCTCTCCCATACCCCTCATTGCTTCATTCACTCTCTCAAATCGGTGCGCGTTGTGCAACCACGCGCTAGCTTTGACCACTCGCAGAGGGATTGGAATAGCGAATTTCCCTCTTCTGTTCCCCCCTCTTCTACACACCTCTCCTGTCTCTCTCTCTTTCTGCACTAAAGGTATACGTAGTAATGTCGCTCTCTGGCGAAGGCAGTAGTAGAAGAATTTTGCGCCTTTTCGTCAAACCCGAATGACCTTATGGAGTGCCGCAATAATAAATGCAACGCGGCCTCTTGTTATTATTTCTTCTTCATCCGTGGCGATTAGCGTTAAAAAATTCTTCTCGTCCGGCCATTGGTGTGGTGGCCCCCCCACCCTAGGAGAGAGAATGCGCGGCCATGCTGAGGTAATGCCTGTGATATCGATATCTGTATGTGCGTGCGTGTGTTTTCTCCCTGCTCCCTTCGTTCTATCTCTACACACTACCCCCCTCCCTCTCTCCCCCTTCTTGCTCGTTCTGTCTGTCTGTTCTCTTCTCCGCTCCCCCCTCTCTTTTCCTTCCTTAGCAGTGGTTGTGTATGCTGTTGTGTGTTGAGCCAAGATGGTAGCTTGCAGTCTGCTTATACTGATGACTAGATCATACGATCTAACTGCGATTTTGGACTGCGGATTTTTAAGCACGGGCGTAGGCTTTATGCTGCTTCCATCTTGCTTTTCATCATACGTGGCTGCCTGAACCTCGTGTGCTAGATTTCTTTGTTTTGTTTTTCTCTCTCTCTCCTTATTTATTTAAATTTTTTTCTTTCTGTTTTGTCTTTTATTTATTTTGTCGGGATGAGTGGTGGTTTCCCATTTCTGTTGTTGACTCGCTGCAGTTGTGCTGGCGGCTGCGGTGGTCAAAGTAGAAGTAATATTACTATTATGTTAGTTTATTGTCGTCGTTGTTGTTGCGAGGGGACCTTTTCACTGTGATGTTTCTTATGACGGCAATAAGGAATGAAAGTTCAAAAATATGTTAAGTTGCAACAGTACAAGTAAGTGGCCTAATGCTGTGAATAAAATTTAGTTGCATGAACAGCAAATTTATTTTTTGCTGCTGAGAACAAAAATATGTACAAATCTACTTTGTGCTGTGTTAAGTAGATTTGTAGATATTTAAAGTGAACACACTTACACATTGACTGAATCACAATTTACCTTGTAAATATTTTTTTTTATTACATAAAATGTCTATAAATTTGCTTTATTTTGTTTGACTGAGTCATTCAATAGAAACATTTTTTATGACATAATTTAAGAATTTCGATGAGGTAAGCAATTATGAACTGTGTCACCTTATGTGTCATTGAATTATGTCACTTGATTCAAAATATGTTCTCTTTATTTTTTTTAAATTTTTCATTTTTTATAATTATCTTAAAAAAACAGTAATTAAAAATAAAACAATCACAATATTACTGAGTACTAGTTAAAATATTTTTTGTGACATAAAAATACCTTGAGAAGTTGAATGACCTATTAATTTTTAATTTAATTAATTCAGTTTATAAAAATTACTGTATTAATTTTGCAAGTTAACTAATGCACATGGTTAATTAGTTTTTATAAATATGTGTTTCATTAGAGACATTCTTATTTTGTTTATTAAACAATATCATTAAATTTATTTTCATTTAATGTTACTCAATTATTAAATTATGTAAAATTACCTTAAATAATTCTAGAATGTATGTAAAAAAAAAAAAAAATTCTGAGCTAAGTCACCTTATCCTATGTCATTGAAAGTATGTCACCTGATTAAAAAAAATAATTTTAATTTTTAAATAATTTGATAAAAATATATTAATGAGTAAACATATACATGAGTAATTTTTAAAATATTTCATTGTGATATAATAATTAGGACATTATCTTAAATAGTTGAATGACCTTTTTCTGATATTAATACATTCTGATGCATACATTGTAAATGAGCAATAGCTAAAATATTTTGTTGTGACACAATTATTACATAAACATCATTAACATTAAAAGTTGAAAAATCTTTACAATATCAATTTTTAGTTTAAATAATTCTTATCATTAATATTCATCATCAGTTAATTAAAGTAATTATTCATCAATATTAACAGGGGTACACAGTTGCAATTTTTTTATTCAAATGCTTTTATTTAGTAACATTTTTATTATTTTAATAATAATGAATGCCAGTGACATAACAGTTGTATTATGAACTTATGAATAAGGTTAACATGATCATCATTAAATTTTTATACAATACAATTTCTTTATTTTCGTACAAGACAAAAATTAATGACAAAATTTCAAATCAATATTTTTTTTCAAAGCTGGAATTAATATGATAAATAATAAGCAACTTGACTGTTTCTTAACATAAGTCAAGTTTACAGATTTGTGATAATTATTTTATGTTTAAACAACATTAATTATAAATTTTTATTCATATGTGCAGTCAATATAATTTTTTAATGATGCAATGTATGTAACAATTGCATTATAATCTGTATTGTTTATTTTAGAATTGGATTAAATTTTATTGTCATGAATCGAGTATTGTTTTTTAAGGAGTTTATAGTATAGAGTTTTTTAAGGAGTTTAATCTTATTTTATTAAGAAATTATTTTGTTGAATTCTATCATTGATATTTTTCTGAATTAAGAAAAAACAGATAGACATAACCTAATTATCAGATTTTCTTACTTTATAATCAATGCAAATATTTATTGCATTTTTATAATTATCTATTATTAATTTTTATTTAATAAATAGACTAGGGATAATTTCTTGAATAATAAGTTATTTCACTCGATTCATAAAAGAAGATCTTGGGATTACTTAGCTCTGTAGCATTTTACTTGAAGTCCGGCCATGTCTTAAAATTTTTCCTGAAAAATTTTATTGATGATAATTTAAAAGATTTTATAACCTTACATGAATGTGTGACATAATTTTATTATAATCTAAGAACTTGAACGTGAGAGGTGTGAGTGTGTATTCTGATGAAGTTATGAAACATATGGTTATTTTTAAGACATAATATGGATGACATAACTTATATGTGCATATTGTATTTAATGTATCATATGTTTTTTTGTAAAACATTACTACCTTATTACAGGTGGGAAACTAAAGCAATGGATAATATCCATACTCTGGATCCCCGAAAACAGGAACTTTTAGAAGCCAGATTTATTGGTAACAGAGTATGTATTTCTTAATTAAATTTTATTTAATTTTTCATTTCATTTCTTACAGTTAAAAATGTAAATTTGCTCCAATATTTTCAATTAACAATTGTTTGTATTAGCTAGTCTAAACAATAATGAATGCATAATAACCGATCAAGACAATAATAACAGCAATATTAATAGCAGCAATAATAATAATGAAAACAATAATTAAAATAAAACTAATGGGGAATCTGTATTTTTGCACTTTTACTGTTTATTAAAGGAAGATTTCTGCATATGTTACATCCATCAAAATGGAGTCCGCATTTTCAAATCAATCGGGGCCACAGCACTTTCCAATTATGAGGACAAGACGATTTCAATTAACTCAAAAAGATGGAAGTATCATCTCCCTAATAATGTTAAAAGCTGTCATCTTTTATGAATTGTGCTGTGTTGTCATCAATATAGGGCATCAAAGGTTACTATCTAAAGGTTAAAAAGACTATTTAAAGGTTGAAAGATAGTTAAACACTGACTATTAGTATTTTAAAATAGCCACTGTACATATTTCTAGCACATAAGTATTGAATTATGAAATTTTTTATGTATGTTTTTGTAGGCTAATAAAATGAAATGCTAATAAATTTCATAATTAAATGCTGATTCTCCCTCACCCCTTGTCTATGATCCAAGGGGTCCACAAAAGTGATTTAAAGAGCCTCAATAAGTAAATATCAAAACTGCACGTCACATGTCATTGCCCAAATCAATGATGAAAACATCGTAAGAAATTGATAGCCAGCTTCTTGAATGCAACAATGGAGCTGAATATGGATAGTGTAGTTACTAAATTAGTTTTAAATTTTGTTTGTTATTGCCTTGCATTTTCATTTCATAATTTAACTATGTTTCTATCATATTGTGTATACTGGTTTAAAGATTCATTATGTGTTTAACATATTCACTAAACATATGTGTTTAAAATTGTGTTATTATTTATCTTTATATTTTTATGCAAGAAAATGCTATGTATACTTTTACTATATCTAATCATTTAAATTATACATGGGAGGAGCGGGTTTCTAAATATATATATTCTTACATTACTGTATACTAAAATATTTTCTTATCACATAATGTGCATTTGTGATATCACATCACATTTTTCATTTTGAAGTTAGACTGAAGAAGTTAGTTGTTTTTATCATAACTATATTGATCTATAATTGTTGCACTTTTTCATTCACATAATGCTTAAGAAACAAATACTTATATAATCACTACTTGTGTCAAAAATATTAATTCACTTTAACTTAGCTGCAAACTTGTACAGTCGTTTTTTTTTGTGGTATCAATGTTAGGTCATATATAAATCTCAAAATTAACAGTATATATATATATATATATATATACAGTGGAGCATCGTTTATGCGACGATCACTTATACGACGTTTACATTTATATGACGTTTTAGTGTGGTCCCAAATCATTCCTATTCCTTTTAATGTAAAAATATATCGTTTATATGACGCACAGAATCGGTTATACGTCGGTTTTTAGATTTTGTTCACGTTTACTTAATTTTTTCTTTATTCTTAATTTTTTCTTGTGTATTTTTAAAAAGGGCGAAATTTGCCAACATGAGTGATACAGAAAAAGGTGCCAACAAGAATGCTTAGATGACGACCGTAATTTTTACTAGATGACTGAAAAACTTGACAATGTTATGAAGAGGGAAAAAATAAAAATTTTGCTATTCATCGACCAATGTCCAGCGCACCCATCGATACTAATTATTTTGGAAAATGTAAAAGGTCTCTTTTTTCCTACAAATTGCACTAGTGCGCTTCAGCCATTAGATTTGGCCGTGATTAGAATCTAAAATTTCATCATAGAAAGCAGTAAGTTCAACTCGCTATTCAAAGCATTGCATTGTAGAGACTAATAGCAAGAAAATATAATTAAAAGTAACATACATTCAAACTGCTCACTGCAATTTTTCTTCTTTTGTTATTTGTTTGTTTTGCTTTGTCTAATTTAGAAATTTATGCAAATCAACACGCTAAACATTAAAATTAACTGAAAACAGAGTTAGTTTTAGTTTTGGAAGTAAAAATCGATTATATGATGTTATCATTTATACGAAGTTTTTCGGTGGTCCCTTCGGCATCGTATAAACGATGCTCTACTGTATATATATGTATAAAGACATTGTTTTTAAACCATGAATAGTTAATAAGAATATTAATTTGGCAGCTTTGCTTTTAAATAATGAAGTAGCTGAATGAAGTTATCTGTTATTATGATGATGAAATCATCTGTGCAGGAAAATCTTTTAGAAGCTGGTAAATGCTGTGAGTCAACATGCATTTAAGAAAGAACCAGAGTAAATAACTACAAAACAATAGTCAGAGAACTTTTATTACATGGCTCTGAAACATGGTGCTTTAGAAAATTATACATCGAAAAACTGAAATTTTTCAAAATAACTCGCAGAAATTTTTTTTAATTCCTTTGGAATGTTAAAATTAAAAACCAAACAAAGTTAGAAAAAGCAAACCTAACTACCGTTGCAGATAAAATCAATAAGATATCATGGAAATGGATATGATACGCATTGCCAAAAGAAAATTTAGTGGCCTGTTTGTCTTTCTTGGGCCAAGACTGCCATGGCTACTACAAATGAATGTGGAAATTATAAGAAAAAAAAATTTAAGTAAAGGACGAAGCCAGATCCCAATGACAAAGTAGGCTGGACACTTTAAGCTCCAAACGGCGCAAAGAGCCTAATTATATTACCAGTTTTTGCCAATTCTGTCTGCTGCATAATTTCAACTGATTAATTAAGTTACAGAAATATGCTCCAATTATGAATAGAAAGACTTCATTCATCATTCACTTAAATTTTGAAAAAGTATCGTGCTGAAGGAATTAATTATTTTAACATTTTGAAAATTGAGAAACTTTAACTTATTGCTTTTATAAAATTGTCATGTTAAATGTTTGATTGCTGTTTAGACATGCTTATCTGCATATCCTGATATTATTATATTATTGTTTGTATCATTCAAAATGTTAATTTCGGCAGTAAAAGTTTTTAACTGATGTTTCCCCAAGTATTTTATATTGGAAATGCTCTTTCAGATTTTCAAAACAATACTATGTATCCTAATTTTTAACAACACTGCAAAGAGTAGACAGAGAGAGAACACGGGCTTCTAATTATGTTATGCTGTATGTCTGAGATTGTTTTAACTTTCATGTTATAGTTTGGAAAACTCTGACCAACTAAGAGAGGATCACTTATGGATCAGTTTTAGAAGTTGCTTTAGACCCTGCATTAGCCAGCAAAAACAAAAATTGATTTATTGGTTGCAAACCAAATAAATTAATAAAATATTTAGTTTTGAATTACTAAATCCTATTAAATTAGTTTTTATTTGATTTATTCACTAGACTTTTATTTTTAGTTAACTTCATTCTTGGATTAATCTCCATTTCAGTTTAAGCTCATTTCCATTTACTTCTATACATTTCATTACAGCTTATTACATTTGCTTTTTTCATGGGTCCTCTTCAGTTGTGGAGACTGAAATCAGTCTTGAGAAAAATCAATGGACTAATAAATTCTATCAATTAAGTTAAATTTTCCTTTTTTTTTCCATTAGAAATTTAAAATTTTTTTTAGTCAAAATAAAAAAATAATATATCTTAATGAAAACATATGATATGGTAATGATGTCAAGACTTTAATTCATCTTCACTAAATCTTATTCTTAAAGTTTTGACAAATGTGATTGATTGAACTTCATCTACTTGTGTAATTAAATTTGTACTATTGCTGAATTTAAATCTGCTCGAGTTTGCTCCCCCCCCCTAACCTGCTGTCATTCTGGCCAAAGTTAAAACAAAAGATTTTTTTTTTTTAAAAACGAAAGAAATTATAGTGCTAGAAAAAAAAAATAAGTAATGGTAAACTGAAAAATAAGAGATATGAATGGTTTTAGGTTGTTCAGTAGTAGTTGTAAAAAAATATACATGGTTAGCTGTTATTTTTGTTTTGTTTGATAAAAAAAAATTTAGAAAAAATAATGAAATAATTGATTTAATATGTAGACTATTATCAAGGAAAGGTAAATTTTGGTGTCAGTGAGCTATAAATTTCTAAAAGTTTGGTAAACAATGCTAGATAGTATTATTTGGTCAAAAAATAAGTTCAATCTTAAAAATTTTTTAGAGTAGCACCCCTGCTTTATTTACTTATGGTATTTTTGTAATATTTTTAGGGTCTAGTCAATTTTAATATTCATGCTCAGCAGTTGCCTCTTCAACTGCAGCAACAATTAGTACAACCTCCCATGATGACTCTTCCTGGGAATCTGCCGCTTCAAGCTCAAACTACAACATTAGGAATCAATCATGCCTCATCTGGGACCAGCAGTAACAGTAACATAAACAATAATCCTGATTCCAATCTCAGTGCTGCCAGTTATGGATCTCACACTAGTGATAAAGAATTAGATGTAATTCATTCATTCCATCTTTTTATATTTATTTATTTATTTAATTAACTTTGTTCTCAAAGTACATGATTGCTTGAACTTTTCACCTGAACTATACTTTCTTTTGTTCACAGACTCCTGAAAAACTCGGACATCGGACTACCAGTGGATCGGAGAGAAAGAGAAAAAGAAAAGATGATGGTATGCCTACAATACTTTTTACATTTTTATTATTTTTATAGTTTAAACCTCTTTTTTTTTTTTTTTACAAAAAAAATAATAATTTTATGTAATTAATTTTTCTGTTTACATAAATTCTTCCAGTTTGATTGTAATAAAATGAAAAAAAAGGTGAAGTGCACTTAAGTTTTTTGCAAACTAAGTTTTCTTAATGGGAATCTGTATTTTTTTAAATAAACATAAATCTGCAATTTTTAAATGTTTACATAGAAATGATTTTTCACAAAAAATACCTATATTAAACATATTTATGTTGGTGTCTTATTCGAAAGAAACCTATTTCTTTCAGGAATGAACTGGTAAGAAACTGGACAAAATTAAAAATGACCAATACAATTGTTTAGCAATAAGTATTTTAAGAATAACTCAAATAAATTTAATGGAGTAAAAGGAAGTTTATAAGGTTTTCTTTTTTAGAAAGAAAAAAAAAAACTGTTTAATTAATATAATGGAGAATTTTAAAATCTATTTATCATTTTTTTATAGTTTGAGTGCTCATACTTAACATTATTTGATTATAAAAAGCTATTTGCAATTGACAATTTAATATGTGTTTTTAGTAGTATCTAAGTTTAGTATGTGATTTGTTAATTCATTGGTATTAATAAAATTTGATTATGTTACTTTAATAGCTCTTTATATAATTATAAAATTAAGTAAGTTTTGCCATTCTCTTTAAAATAAACATTGAAAAACTAGTTATCTATGATCTTTTTAAAAAAAGAATACCTGAATTTTTTTTACCTTTTTATTTTTTACTTATTTAAAAATGATGTATGAAATAACTAAAAAAAAATTCCCGCATTCTTTTAGTTTTTACTTATTTTAAATAGCTCAACAATTAATACTATTATTTCTGCTAGATTGCAATTGTAAGCTGTTTGAAGCAACTGTTTATGTGTTTAATATTCCATATTGAAAAAGAGTTTCTTCCACTTGAGTTGGAAGAAATTTATTTCTTCTGGTGTGATCTTTTTCCATGGTTTTCTTCTACTGTGGAAGAAACTTGACATTCCTGATGTATAATTAATTGGGTAAATTTCAAATTAAGTCGGTGTCTTAAAATACTTAAAATAAAATAGACTTTCCATGATCTGGTAGTTATTAATATTAGTTAAATTAAGTTATAATTTTATATACTTGTTAAATAGATTATGTTCATTGCAATCAAAAAGTATAAATAGGAAGACAGTGTTTTCTAAATTTTAATATTTCAGTTTAATTTTAGAATGTCACCAGTATTGTATTGTTTTTATGCAGTATGTTTATATTCATTATTGTGACGTCAAATTATTTTTTAATATGGCTTTTTAAAAAAAACTGTTAAAGAAAAATATTAAATTCACTAAAAATATTTATATATATAATCTAAAGTTTTTTTTCTTCTTATTTATGTAATGCTGCAATACGGCAATAAAAGTTCTGTTAAATTTAAAACTCTATCTTGCATGATTGATAAAAAAAGTAAATAAAATAATAATTTGCGTAGTTGCCTTTTGTGAGCAATAAATTCATTGTTTATTTTACCTTATCCTTAAAAGTTTCATGCTGTTTGTTTTTAGGGGGTGGGGCATAGCTTTAAAATTTCAATGACAGCTACAAATTTAACAGTGCTTTATGGTTTTCCTCTAAATATCAAATTCCACTGTAACAAAATGATTTATTTCATGTTTCATGAAGTTTGATAATTATAGAGGAATTTATCTGGTCCTATGAAGTTCAATATTACAGGATTGTTTTTTACATATTTTTTAAGAACTGAATTATAAATTAATAACATAAACTGCAATTATGCAACTTGATTTGAATCTTTGTTTCAGGCATGAAATCTGCACGTGAAAGTGCTAAAAAAATTAATGAGTATTTTAAGGTTAGTAGTTTTCAATAAATTTTCTTTTTAATGAAAGGCATTAAAAATAGGTTATGTAATCTCTTTTTCTTCAATTTTTAGGGTCATAGTCCTAGTCGCTATGCTGGTTCTAAGTCTCCTACACCTCAAAGTTACATGGTAAATTATTCTTATTTATTGTTTTTGATTTATATTTTTTACTCTGACATCAGACTATAGCATATAGCAGGATTGTTATTTCAAACATGTTTAAACTGTTATTATAATATTTTTTCTTTCATATCTATGGATCATTTTTTCAAAATAAACAAAAACACTATATTTCAAAAACTACCCTCTATAATTATTTTTTCCTTATATTTATAAGGAAATGCAAATGTTTCATTGAATTAATTAAAAATATCAGAAGCTAAAAAATCAGTCTTTGCTTTTTTTAAAAAAAGAATTATGAAAAACACTGTTCTAACACTAGAATATATTCAAATTTCTAAGTAATAAAAATAACTTTTGTTTAATATTTTATTTTACTTGACTGTTTCAATTTATAAAAAAACCGCCAGAAAGTCCATTGTATAAAATTCAAGTATTGTTTATTTAAAACAAACCTTACAGGAGTCATCAGAACTAAAACATTTTTCATTGCATTTGCCAATTAAACTTTAAAGCAATAAATAACTTTTTAAATTTCATGATGTTTTCTTTAACCTAGCTTTATAAAATTTTAAAGGAAATTATTGTTTTTTTATTTAATTTCAGTATGCTCAAGTGCAGCAGAATATGGGTTCGCCATCTAGTACTCCCCTCAGTGCCAGTATAGATTATTCAAGCCTAATGGCGCCTCCTCTATGTCATGCCATCTATCGATCAGTGCAAACAGATCTTACCATTAATAAAATCAAGGAGCTTGAAAATAAGTCTGCATTAGACCTAGAAATGCGTGATAATCGAATTGAAGAGCTTCAAAGGGTGAGTTTCTCTTTATATCCATGCATTTGCATCAAAATAAGATTTCTTATTCAACCTATTGCCTGCTTGAGATTTTGAATCTGCCTTACAGTTAACTTAAATAATAAATGTTGCTGTTAAGCTAATAAATAAAATCTGTATTAGCAGTAAGGAAAATTAATTTTATTGTTTTATTTTGTAAGAAATTTCAGAATTTTCTGTGATTTTTTTTAACAATTAAAAACCACCAGGTTGCCACAGATGACTATAATGCAACTATTTTTAGCATCAGACAAATATTTTGAGGAAAATGAGACTATAAGAAGACTTCTGTATTCCTAAACGAGGTTTTTAGCATAAATTGGGTTAGCAACAATTTTCAATAAAAGGAGACTGTTGGGAAATTTTTCTGTACTCCTAGTGATGTTTTTTTAGCATAAATAAGGTTGAAAACTTGCTACCTGCAGGAGCTTCTGAACGGACTGAATTTTTTTTTCTTAAAAAATAAAAATTTTAAATGGCAAATATGAGTCATAACTTTTAATTTGTTCAATTTGCAGCACAGATTTCATTGTAAGTCTATTTTGTTTCTCGATTTCCTTTTCAGTGTTTATTGCTACTAAATTTCGCATGATTTTAAAAAATCCAATTTTTAATATATTACGATGGTTGAATTTAAAAAGGAAATTTTTTTAGGAAAAGTATGTTTTTTTTTAATGAAAAGGTTTGTTTTTTTTAATAAATTCTAGTAATTAAAAGTATTTTCAGACTAATATACTAATTGATTTTATATAAGAACTTAGTGCTATAACACTAACGTTTATATAAAAATTATCTTACTTGCCACCGACTTGACTAAATGGATCATGGTATATGACAATTAAGTCATTTAATAAATTTTTAGTCATATTTTTGGTGAATTTTTGTTCTCATTTCGGCAACTATTTTCATAGTTTTCAGCAGCTATTTTCATGCTTTAGCCTACTAAAAGCAACTATTTTGTTCATTTTTTTCTGTGGCAACCCTGAAACCACATTATTTTTGAATGCTCCAATATCCTAAAAATGATGTCAAATTTTTCAAGGATAAATTGAAATCTGTTAATTTCATGCAAATACATAATATTTTTAATAATAAAATCCTTTAGCTTTGTATTCTTAATGAGATCAAGCAGTTCTAAAAGTTATTGCTATTGAAACCAAATATATATATATATTACATATACTCGTATTCACCTTTTATCATGAAACATTTTATGCCTTATATTTTTTTTCTAATATGTTACGACTACCTAAAATCAACTGAATGAATTTTACTTTTCAAAATTACAAATTTAAAAATGAAATAATCCTATTTTTTTTATATTTATGTCTCTTTTTAATTACTATAACAACTATCAAATAAATCAATGCTTAAAAATGTGTTTAATTTGCTGAGGCATGGTTACTAAATTTAATCATAATATCTATCTGTTATTTTAGAATTATGTAGCATTTATGAATCTGCAAATGTTTACACATACATGAATTAGCATGCATATGTTTATTTAAAAATTTAGTTATAGATTAATTTTAGTAATATTCCGTTGACTGTGTGTTTTTTTTAATACTAAATAGAGTGTCAATAATTGTATGATTGTAAACATAGGTCATTATTTTTCCATTTATATTTTCTTTGATGAATAATTTTTTTCCCCAAAGCATTTTATTTTCGTAAGCTGTCATTTTGATGTTGATCTTATTTCTAATTTCTTTTAGGCAAATGAAGAATTAAAGCGTCAACTTTCAACCCAGCAGAAAACAGCTGAGAAAATGAAGGATCAACTTCAGCGATGTCATGATGTTACTAAACAACTATTAATAGAAAAGGTATGAGTTATGTGTATTTTGTGTATAAATAAAATTCTTTAAACAATTTATTGGAACATTTGAACAGGGAAAACCTGGAATTGTCAGAGAATTTTATTTTGCCAAAAAAAAGCAGGGAATAGTCAGGAAAAATTGCAATTTAAAAAAAGAAAACCTGGGAAACTCTTAACATCATACCTGTAACGAACCTGTGGACAATAAATCAAGTCTCGGAATTGTCAATAACAGTAATCAGTTATTGAGATTCAAGTTAAATAATTCTGGCATCATGTTGCAAAAATTTCACATTTTAGTGTAACTTCTAAGCTTCTATTCTCATTCGATAATATTTCTTTTGCTCACAAAATCTAATATTTGACATTACAAGTAAGAAAATCAAAGTTGTTTGATGAAAAATGACATGGTGTATAAAAAATATGGTTTTGATTTTCATTGAAGTATAACAACAGAAGTCATGAAATTTTTTTTCCTGAAATTGAGTCGAAACCCTGAAAGAATTAATGTGTGGAGTCATTTTAATGTTAAAAGATTCAATTGTGGTTGTTGTAAAGTTTAAATTGCTTATATTTTATTTTGTGTTTTACCCTTTCTTCAATTTTTTAATTAAAAAAGAACAAAATTCTAGCCAGTGTTTTGTGTCTGGAAACCACCTGTCAAATCTTAGTTTAACAAGGGAAACCTCAAATTGTCATGGAAAATTCCTTTTTTTTACAAAAACAAGGAAAATTAACTGGTCTTAGAATTATTGAGATTCGATTTAAGTATTTCTAAGATCTTACAATTACTTATTGTAAAAATTCTACATTTTAGTGAAACTTTTCCATGTTTCCATCCTCATTCAATGAATTTTTTTTGCTCACAAAATCTTATATTTGACATAAATAAAAGTTGTCTGATGAAAACTTGCATGGTATACATAAAGTATGGTCTGGATTTACATTGATATTTTCTTGAACTACTTGGAAAAGTCAGGAATTTTTTTTCTTTCTGAAATTAGGGGGAAAGCATGATAAAGATACATTGCTAATTATGCTAGATGATGGTATGGTTTAGTGACTTTGTTCATATTTTTTGTGAAATAAAGAAAAACTGAAGTAATTCATGTGTAACACATTTTATACAGTTCAAGATTACAATCTCAAAAATGATTCGAAACTAGCTAGTTTTTTTTTCTTCAATATTTGTGTGCTATATGAATTTATATGTACTTTTTAGTTTTAAACATCTTTTTTAGATGTATATTATATAATTTTTTTATTCTAAAGCATTATTTGATAAAAAAAAATTTTTTTTGACCATTTCAGTCTTTAATGGAAAAGAAAGCATGTCGTCAAAAATGTATGCAAAATAGGTTAAGGCTTGGTCAATTTATAACACAAAGGCAAGGAGCTTCATTTGCTGAAAATTGGGTGGATGGTTTTGCATTTACTGAACTAATTAAGTAAGTATTTGAATATTTTTAAATAGATTTGCAACTTTCATTTATGATTTTATTAAATAAGTCCCATTAAATATTAAGTTTCTGTTTGTTTTTCAATTTATTTATATTGATTAATTTTTTATAAAATATCAGATTTTTTGACTGATAAAATAATTTTATTTTCTATTCTACATAATGTTTCTTTTGTAAATAATTAAAAGTATTGATCTAAATTTAGGATTATACTTAAAAAAATGTAGCAAATTTCATGTATTAATAAAAATAAACTGATTTTATTTTAATTAGCTTAACATGGAACAAAAATAAGTGTCAGTCATTTAAATAGAGTCATTCAAATATAAGAAATGTCTTAAAAGCTGCAGTAGTCCAGGTAAAGGCTGCCGAGAAAATCTTTGAATTCAGAGATCGATATGAGTTTCTAATTGCCAGCATGCTATGGAATGTAAAATAGCTCATCAATTTACTGAATTTTGCCAGTTTCTCTTTGTCTACTGGTATAGTAAAAAAGTTCCAAGTTTTTTTACATTTTAAAACTTTCCCTAAAATATAGTAATATCCCTATTGAAACAGAATTTTTGTACTATTTATATTGCTTGAATATTTAAATAAATATTACTAATATATAATGCAGCAAGCCTCACTTAGTAATTAGTTAAGAAATTTCTTTTTTATTGTTCTAAAATTTTCAGTTTATTTTTATTCAGAGCTCCCTTTTTCAATTATAGAATCTTTTTTAATTATCAATTATGAATGTCTTGTCTGCTACTATTTAAAATTATGAGTTAACATAATAAAAACCCTTTCAAATTCATTTAAAAATATTGCATACCATTTACAGTTATTACTTAAATAAAGTTTATGTATTTTGATGACAAAAATCCCTAAAATTCCCTATATGTAAAATATTTAGCACGTTATACTACAGTTATCATGAATTTTATATTATTTAGTGGATTTTTTCCTAGCAGCTATGTCAACATTTTATTATTGGTGCCAGTAACTATTTTTTAGGCTTGATAGCTATTGACTGCCCTAACTCTGCAAACCTATGATATTATTAAAACATAAAAATGAATTATCATTTGTCCATAAATCTTTTGAAGTTCCATAAGTCTTTATTTTCATTGAGTGCAAACTCTACTGATTAAAAATATGACCATCCACTAATTGCGTAAAATTTTTAAAACTTTAATGTTCTTTATTACTTTTTTTTTTACTTGTTACTTTTTCTTATTGTGTAATTACTTTTTAAATCTCCAGTGCTCTAAGTTGTTTTATGAAAAAATTCATAATATTTAGAGACAAGATTTTAAAAATGTATGAAGTGGGGGGATTCAATTATTTCAGATTTATTAAATATTATGAGTGTCAGGACTATATAATAACTTACTTCTGATAAAAATGTTTTACTTCAGTACTCATTGTATTTACATTTCAAAATTATTTATATCTTTTGTAATCATTTCATGAAAGAATTCATTAAAGATTGCATTAAAGTTTAATATGAACCAAGTAACAAATTTTTATAAAATTTATTTATGGACATTCGCTTATTAATATTTGTAATATGAATTCATTAAAGTTTTCTTAGTTTGCTTAATTCTTTACATATCTTTATGAATTCGGTATGTTAAATAATATTAATCTTGTTAATGTTTTGTTGAATATGCTTTTATAAATAACTATTTAAATCTTTAAAAAAATTTAACCTTTTTAAATAACAGTTTAATTAATTATAATTTTAAATTAAAATGTTTTACATAATTAAAGTAATTATTAATTTAAAAAATAGAAAAAGCAACTCAATATTAAATATACAGTCGAACCCCGCTATAGTGAACCTGGGATATAGTGAACACTCGGATGTAGTGAACTTTTTTAGCGGTCCCGTCCGTATTCCTATTTAAATAATGTTATTTTTAACGCTTATAGTGAACAGCTTAGAACTTGGAAACTCGGTTATAGTGGAATTAAATTTCATTTCTTTAAATATCTTTTTCAGTCCTCCATCTTTAAACTTGTAGGTGTTGGGACTGAAAATGAATGCATTCCTATAAAATGTGTCATATTACTCTCCTTTATGCTTATCACTTTTAACTATACTGTAATAAATGTCAAACAGATCATTTATCTTTACTCCCCCCTCCCTGACAAGCCTCGCTTTATCTCTTTTCCCCAAGCTTGCTCTACAACTAGTTAACTTGGCCACCTGCTGAATTTTTGGAATTTTCTTATCTGTTCAAACCATAATCTTTACAAATCACCTGTGGACAATCAAGAAGGGGAATAATTTAACTCATTCTACAGCTGTGAAATTGGCAAATTTTCTAAAGAGAAAAGCGTTTTCGATAGAGGACAAAGTTAAAATTGTAAAGCGTATTGATGATGAAACCAATCAATCGACACTGTGTAAGGAATTTTCCTTGTCAAAATCTACAGTTTCAAATATTTGGAAAAATCGAAGTGCAATTCTTGCGGCATACGACAAAAACATGGTTTGCTCGAAAAAACTGCGTAGAGCTGAAAGAGAAAACGTAGAAATGCTTTGTCAAGATGACTCGAAATCTTGTTCAAAATGTAAAAATCTTGCATTCGTTGCACATTGTAGATAAGAAAATTGATGAACTCAATTTAAAATCAAATTGTGTTCAATCAAAAATCACGTAATTACTTTTTCCATCAATTTTTGCTTTATTATCTGTTAATTAGTTAATAATTTTTTAAAATAACTTATGCAAAATTGCAAAGCCAATTTTCAATCATTCAACTGTCTTATGCAAAAAATATTCTTCAAAAAATTTGGATATAGTGAACCATCGGTTATAGTGGACACATTACTGAGTCCGCAGACGGTTCACTATAGCGGGGTTCGACTGTATTTAAAATTGTGTATGAATTGTTTTTATGATAACTAATATAATCAAGAAAAGATTTCTTTATCAGAAACTAGTTATTTTATCATGATCATGTCAAGTTTTTGAAAATTATTTTGCATTTTGTCAGTATATATATTTGAAGAACTTTTATCAATAGGTAGAAAAAATTCTTATTAGTGCATATCCTAATTATGATATTTCTTTTAAAGTAATAAATATTTTTTGAGTACTTAAAAGGTGCTTATTTTTTGTGGAAATGTTTGGCTATGCACCCTGTATAAGCAATATAAAAGTTTTGATTTTCAAAAATTCCAAATAAAGTTCTTCAAATGAAGAAATTTTGGAAAATGAAGCATGTTATCTTTCAAATTCTAATTATTGCCATATTTTAGAAATGTTAAGCAGAATAGCAAATTTAAAAAAAAAAAAAGCATTTGTGTAATTTTTAAGAAACCATTATATGTATTATATTGTTAAGCACGTTAGAATAAGTCAATTTTTTAAAATGACAATCTGCCCAGCTGTGAGAGGCTCTCAAACAAATTTGAATTTTTGAAGATTGTGATGTATTGATAGTTAATAACTTTTATTTAAGGATTATCTTAATACTTAACCTTTTGTTTTTGAACAGTACCTTAAAGTTCTACTTTCCTATTTCCAAAAATTCAAAAGTAGTAGCAAGATTATTTGATTATAATTATCTATGCTAGACATCCAAAATATTTCTATCTTAAAATAATAATCATTTAGTTCTAAATTCGGCCACTTTTGTTATGCTCTCATTTACATTCTTAAGTTAACTCTGTAAATATAGGGTTTAATAGTGAAACCTTTTATTTAAAAGCCAATTCGAAGAATATTGATTGGTTAAAAAACATACTTGTCATTTGAATAAAAGCTTAATAGAATGTTTTGTTCTAGAAAATCTTATTTGAAAGATTAGATTTTTAAATTGTGAAATGTTATTTCAGAAAACAAGAACAAATAGCAATGGAAAGAGAAGAAATTGAAAAGCAGCGTAAAATGTTAGGTAAAAAGAAGCCAAATGCAACTCAGCCTAGAGGTAGAGCTAATTCAGCTTTAGCAAACGGTGACTTTCTTCGACCTGATCCCCTCAAAGAGTAAGTCCTGTTTTTTTTCTTTCCTAAAAATGGTAAATTAATTGTTACAGAAATTAATTGTGACTTTTTCACTTAATTTTACTGAGGTATTCTCAATGCTTATGTTAGCTTAGTTTATAGGTAAACCTTAAAAACCTTTTTAAAACTCGTGTACTTATTGTGTGGTAGAGATCCTGAGATTTCGGGACAAAAAGAATTGCCAGGTTATTGTTTAAAAGCACCTCTTTATTTATTGATTTCTTTTTATAAAGATATATCAGGGGTCCGTTTAGGTTTTTCTGAGAGGTAGCTATTTTGTGGAAATTTAGACATAATTTGTGAAAATTGGATATAATATTAAAATATCAGCAAAAAAATATGGAATTATCGTTTCTTACGGGTTACAAAAATAAAATTTTAAGGAAAAGTATTTTGTGAAACTACCGTTTTTCCTAAAGCTGAATTTGTGTAGGTACTGCTAAACGGTAGTAAAATTGGCCTGGACAGACCCCTGTATATATATTGCTTAATATTATTTTGCTAACAGTAATTTAGCATCACTGTTATATATTTTTCCTAGTAAGTAAATTTACGAACTGTATAAATTCAATTGGAATTTTAATCTGGAATTAAATAATTTTATTGTCAAACTTTTTATAACTAATAGTTTTTCTTTTAATCATATTTTATTTTCAGTTTAAAATCTACAATTGCTGTTCTTAAAGATTACATGTACAACTGTAGTTATTCTTAAAATTGAATTGTTGTTTAAAACTTCTTATAACGGCCATATGATTGAGATGCACAACCTTTTTAAGTGAAAGGCCACATGCTTAGCAGATTAACCAATAGAAAGCCACCTGCCCAAGTATTTTGACTGGCATGATGCAATTATAGGGAGTAATTGTTATATAAACATCATTGTTCCAGACACTAAATTCTTTTTATCATGTGTATTATTAGTAATACGTTTGTGTAAAATTAAATACTTTTAAATGTTTAAAATTAAAGACTAAAAAACTAATTTTTCCAATAAGAAAATGTTGTTTTTTAATAAAAAATGAAAGGAACATTTTTTGATCAGAAAAAAAGTCTGATAAATAGAAATATTGAGTTTAATAAACAGAAAGGTCATGATATTTTTTATCACATTATTACATAATACAAAAGTCCATTTTTACATAAATTCTAAGAATAAGAAACTGTAATGTTTGTAGAATTAAATTTTTTTTAAATAGTAATAAATTTTTTAATAGATGCTAGTTAAATACAATATATTAAAGAAAGTTTATTGGGTTTAAATTAAAACAAAACCCTTACAGCTCAAAATAAGATTCAACATTTAGTAGAATATATACTTCAACTTTAAAAAATTTATTTTAAATAAAATTACAAGAGGTTTTACAAATCTTAAATATTTTTTAAAAAAATAACACTTTAAAAGAAATTGAAACATAATCGAATTTTACGAATTGTGTAATATTGTGTTAAGATATCAGGATTTTTAAAATCACAAGGAATAAGGTAGCAATAACTGCCAAAAAATACTTTTGAAACACCTCTTATATTTATGTTAAAATTAATATGATAAGGTGTAAAATTAACACAAATGGGGCATGTCAAAAAGTGATTAATTTTATGCACGATTTTTATTCAAATTTCGCATGTCGTAATAATCTATTATTATTAGAAATATCAGAGTTTTTTAAATTATGTAGAGAATCATAGTAAGTAACAAAAGTCCAAAAAGTGATTTATAAAAATCTCTTATGATTTTACAAAGAAATTGGCAGAAGTAAAGCATTTTAAATAGTGATGTATTTAAATACAGAATTCAAAATTCAAATGCCATAATAATAGCATAATAAAAAATATCAGGACTTTTGAAACCATGTAGAAAATGCATAGCAATAACTGCCAAAATAACAGTTTGGATTTGCAATAAAATAGTCAGAAATAGACCATGTCAAAAAGTGTTTATCTAAATTATCGATTTGATACTCTCGATTGCTGCTAAAAATATCAAAATTTTAAAAACTACTTTGAGATACATATATTTCCACGTTTTTTTTTTTTTTTCAGGATTCTTTTTTCATAGTTTTTGAAAAAAGGATCTAAAGTCATTTGGATTTACGATGAAGTTTGCACAAACTAGGTATTAATTGCTACACAGTTTCGAAAAGTGCGGATTTTTTGCGATTAGGAACCGAAGAAACGAATGAGAAGTCATTGGAAGAGTGTCAAAAGGGAAAATTAAAATTCAAAATTTTGTGTATTGTGATAATGTTGTATTTTAAAATTATATGTAAATCTGCAGCATTAACCATCATCAAAAAGAAATTGAAAAACAATAATGATTAAGATTGGGCATGTTCAGATGCTGCCTTGGGCTGCACATTAAGAGTTGGCAGCAGCATGTGGGCCGCAAGCTGTGCACCTCTACTGTATAAGTTGTTAGACTGAATAATGTAGCAAATATTTTTTTATGATATTAGATATATATGCAGACCCTATTGTATAAAATAAAAAAAAAATTATCAATAAATCTTGCTTTGTCGATTTTTTCCAACAGTGACATTTTTACTTTTTATTATTTTAAAATGACTATTAAAGTACTTTTTGATTATTGCAATTTTTTATTTATTTTTGTCTTCCAATTGTATTAGTTGAAATCTTGCTAACATTCCTTTGTTCATTTTTTAATTTATCAATGTGTTTGCCATACATTATCTATCTTGTGCAAACTTTACTGTTTACAATGTAGACATTTCAAACTCGAATATTTTGTTTCTGACACTTACATTTTCCTTTTTTATGTACTTCAGTGCTACTGAATACAATAGAGTAATATATTTTGTGTTCATAGTTTTTAAATTATATGCTTTCTATTTTGGTACTTAAGAAGTAAAATGTATCTGTATGCACTAACTGAACTTATATTTATTTGTTTTTTACAGTTTACTCAGCTGGTCTGAGTATTTTGAACAAGAAGAAATCTTTAAATTAAGACAAGTCTCTTTGAAGAAGGAGGACACTGATTTGCAATTAGAGTTAGAGAAATTAGAAAGGGAAAGAAATCTTCACATTCGAGAACTAAAAAGGATTCACAATGAAGATCAATCTAGGTAAATTTTGAATTGCATATTATCTACATTGCATCAATAAGATATGCTCTTTTTCTCCAGTTTTGTATGTAAACACTTCAATGATTTGAAGTTTGAACTGTGTATTGCTAAAATTTATTCTAAAAATTTATATTAATTTGAAACTGGTGAAAAGTTCTCTATTTTATATCATGAAAAACTAAGTTTCACTTTGTTTTCTTTTATATATAATTACATGATAATGACTTCTTACTACAAGTCTAAACATTAATTTTTTTAACCTCAATAGAACATGCATTGATACAAAGATTAGGTTATCTGACATCTCTTCTACTATTGCTTCGAATGAATTTCCAAATTAAAGAATGAGATATAAAAAGTCTGTCATGATTCTGGAGTCAAAACCCTCCTTTAAATAACATAAAACATTCTAGTTACCAAAATAGTCCTATAAATCTTTTTTTTTTTTCCTCCAAAAAATCCAAAACCTTTCAGTCAACATTTGAACGCAAATGTTTTAATCTGATTCATAACAGTTTTATATTGTAATGACTCATTTTTCTTTAGAGAAATCGCCTAAGAAGAAAACGTTGCAAAATGTACAGATTTTACGTTCCATAATTCGTATAGAATTTGTAAAATCTATATTGCATGTCATAATATGCTGCCTCAAATGATTGAAGATTCTGTTGATGAAGTTACAGCAGATATGTGAAATCTCTATGTAATCGATGATGATATACTTAAAAAAAATGGAACTACTCTCAAAATCTATTGATTATTTTTGGAGCCAAGTTTTCATATTAAAAAAGATAATCAGAATCTTTCCTAAAAAAATCATTTATCTGTTTTTGTCAAAACCTGTAATAGTTTCCAAGGGGCAGGCATTAGTTGAAACAGGTTTTCTGTGAGTTAAAGAATTAGCCTAGACACCACAAGAATTATCAAACAAGCTGTAAAAGGATAAATTGCTGATGTTTGCATCACTCAAGAAATGATATTTCATATGGATGCATGTGGTAAATACAAAGCCGAGAGACTTCTAAACCAAAAAAAAGTAAATGTACCACAATTAAAACCTAATAAACTTTCTGAGTCAAAGATAAAATTTCAAGCTCTCAGCCAATCATTGTTGAAGGCAACCGAACATCTCTTAACTTGCCCCAGTTCTATAATTTTTTTAATTGTTACTTCTATCTATGTGAATATCTTAATGATGATGAAATTGATTTATGCATAGTCAATAAAGCAGCATATAAATCTCTTTCTTCTGGAGCTGATTGGATAGTATTAGTACTATAATTCATACAAATTCAGAAAAAGACAACTAAATGTTTTGAGTGGTTTGAATGGAAAGAAGCTGTTGTTGAAACTGCAATTACTGTTGTACCAAAGCATACTAAATAATAGTTACTAAAAATTACCATTTAGCAGAAAAGAGCCACTACTTGTTTTTAATTCCTTTACTATTTTAATTCAACATAATTTTCCTTTTTGCCTGCTCTTATCAAAATACCTTTTTCTGCATATTTATTTATATTTTTACTATTTTAGTTTCAGGAAAATCTCTGTATAATACTCAACATTTTTCATCTGTGTTAATAATTTATTGCCTTGATCCATAGGTTTAATAATCATCCTGTATTACACGAAAGGTATCTACTGCTCACACTACTGGGTAAAGGTGGTTTTAGTGAAGTACATAAGGTGAGATATTAATATTCTTTTATAGTAATGTATGCTTCTAGAATATTTTCTCAAGTTATTAAACAACTTTTTTTTACAGAATTTTTTAAACTGACAACAAAAAAGTGTTTCATAGTAATGGATTGATAAAATCTATAATGAAAGTATATATAAGCAGTAATTGCTGTAGCTGAAACTTATCTACAATTTAAGTGAAAGCAAAATCTGTTTTTACATGGTATAAAAAAAAGTTTACCATGTACATTAAACTTTATACTTAATATAATCATTATTATATTAAACATAATAATGATTTCATATTAATTGTTATAAATATGAAGATAGATTTTAATTCTTTAATGCCACAATTTAGGCTGGTTTTTTAGCTGGTTAAATAAACTAAAGTGGTCACCAATAACTATCTGATCTGACCTTGTAATTTTTTTATTATTCTCTTTATTTGGTTATTAATATATATATATATATGAACATTGCTTATAAATCATGATTGAAATAGATTCCTGGGAAAGTAAACTAATTATAATTAACAAAAAATATTAGTCAATTGTTACAAGTGTTTAATTTAGTAGAATTAACATTAGTTAGTAGGTTAACATTAGTATTTATTAATTTAGTAGGTTAACATTTAGTAGAATTTTCAGAATAAATTTCCTAATGCATTATATTTTTGTATATAGTGATAGTTTTTAATTTTGGTCTTTTCTCATTCAAAACTGAAAATTAAAAAATTGAGAGTACAAAGGACCTGAAAACTCTTGTTTTAGAATTGCTTGTCCACAGAACTGAGGAGTTAAAATGAGAGTAAAAGAAAATAGATTTTACCCATGATGAACAAGATGATTGTTAAGTGTTTTTTTATTAGATTGATTTTTGTATTTTTATTTTCAATAATTAAAAATAAAACCCTGCAGATTCTGATAATTTCAGTTTTAGACATTTTAATTTATAATTATTTAATATTCATTATAATAGATTAATATTTTTTTCTGTGCCAAAATTTTGGGATTTTGACAGTAATATTCATATCTAAAAAGGGGTTTATTGTCAAAATTATTAAAGGACGTAATTGATTATAAATTAAACATAAGTAATTCATTGCTTGTAATTTTATATGAACTTTATTTATAATTTTATTTTACTTATAATAATTATTTTTTGTACTAAAATTTTGGGGTTTTGACAATTGTCTCAAATTATGTCAAAAAGAAGTTCTTATATGACAGATAAAACCATCATAAACCTGGTATAGTTACACTTACATCTAATTATGATGGGTCAAAAGAAAGACATGAAATATGTTAATTAACGCAACATAATATTTCCTGAATTGATATTGAAAAACGGGAATTTGAAAAGATGTCCCACTTTAATTTATTGATTTTAGTTTTTAATTTTTTCATTGTTATTTTAATCTTAGGCTTTTGACCTGAAAGAGCAAAGGTATGTGGCTTGTAAAGTTCACCAATTAAATAAAGACTGGAAAGATGACAAAAAAGCAAACTACATAAAGTATGTTCAAGTTTGTTCTTAAATTTAATTCCTAATTTTATTATTCTTAGAATTTGAAGGAGAAACTGATTTATGAATTTTTAATTGAGAATTTTTGAAATACTTTTATTCACTTTTTTTCATCATAAAAATTGTTGATGGATTTATAAATAGAGTTCCCATTTGGTTAGGGAAACCTAAAATTGTCAGAGAATTCAATTTTGGAATAATGTTTCAAAACTCAGTGTGACATTAAGTGGCCAATAAAGTTTAAAATAATTAAATCTAGCTTGTGTTTTTATTTTTTCTTGTAAACATTCTATCTAATCCAACATGGAAAAAAATTTTCAGAAATATAAGAATTCAAATCAATTAGTTATTAAAAAAGGACTTTTCATTTTTTTCTTCTAAAATATAATCTATTTGCAGTTGAGTAAATTGAGCTTTCAAAAAATTATCTGTTTAAATTAATTTTGTTCATTTATCTCAAGTAAAATATGTGATAGTTTTCTATATGACTGAAATTACTTTATTAATATATTATATTACATTGAGTTTTTAAATTTCTCTGTTTGTTGTGCAAAATATTGGTTTTATCTACTTGTTATACTAAAATTATTGTAAAATGTTACTTGTTTTACATACTATAATTTATACACTTTTTTCATTTACATAAATATATACTTGTTTATTATACTACTTCAGGGTATGTAGTGTTTTTAAAAAGTGCTTAAAGGTACTTATTTTTTATTTACGTTTTTTAAAAGCCTTTAAAGGTGATTTTTTATTCAGGGTTTATAAAAAGTGCTTATTTCTTATCTTTTGAAAAGGGATTTTTTTTCTTTGCCTTATCAATTGTCATTCTAAATTACAAAAATGAATGATTCTCTCAATTTTCTCTGCAATATTTATCAGAACCTAGTTATTTTACCATGATTCTGTAAAGTTTTTGAATATTATTGATTTTATGTTTATAAATTAGAAACTTTAAATGATAGAATTTTTTCTTTTTTTAATACTGCACAGATCCTAATTGCGATTTTTTTTTTCCTTTTCTTTGAAAAGTGATTAAAAATATTTTTTGAGTGCTTAAAAGGTGCTGATTTTTTTGTGTAAAATCTGACTGTGTATTTGTTAGTCTGTCTAGCAAAATTGTTATGTTTACGAAATAAAATATTGCTGTATTATTTAATCTTGTTTTAAATTTTTAAGTCCAGTGTAATCTATTTATGAAGTAAACAGATTTGATTCAGAATTTAATCCATTTTTAGTTTTATAAATAGTCTGTTCAGATCAATAATATATGCATATTTTGTTATTTAGGCATGCCCTTAGAGAATATAATATTCACAAGTCCCTTGATCATCCTCGTGTTGTAAGGCTGTATGATGTCTTTGAAATAGATGCCAATTCGTAAGTAACTCATTAGATAACTGATGCTTGACCCTTTTTGTTTTTTTTTTATTTTCATCAAAATTATTATCCTATATTTCTCTTATTCAACATCCTTTAATTATAAGATCAAGACAATAATTTTAAAAAATTGTGGATTTTTATTATCATTATTTCTTATTATTTTGGTGATTACCAAAATCAAAATAACATATCTGAGCAATTTTTCTAGTTTCTTATCTGTCTTAAATATTTAATAAAGCAATATTTTTATGGCTAATGATAAGGAACATTATTTGAATGAACTAATTAGTTATTTTATTATTGTTATTGTTTAATTCTGGACTTGCTTAAGGACTTGATATCCACATTTCATGTTTGTCAAGAACTCTTATTTTTTAAAAACTAATTTGATAAAATATATATATATATATATATATATNAAGGCTATTTCTACTTAAAACATCTGCCAAGAGTGCTAACGATAATTTTTACCCTATTTCTATTTTTTAATAGAATTATATTATATGTTTTAAGTTGTGAAGAAAATTTATTTGGAATTATTAAAGAAAATATAAAAATACAATAGTTTTTACTTGGTAGTCTATTAGTTGAATGATTAGTGACTGATTAACACTGAAGTTTAGTTATTTAGGGTTGAACAGCTATATCGTGACTAGTGTATAGAAATTACCCGTGTGTTCTAAAAACATTTAGATGACAGATTAATTTGTCTCCCTTTTTAAAACTTAAAATAAAAAAAAGTATTTTTAAAGGTATTATAGAATCAATCATACATATATATGTGTAACTGCAAACAGTTACCTTTTTTTTATTCTAGCAAAGTATTGTTCAAATGTTTCTGAAAGCAGGGCCCCCATTTCGTTTGTCATGAATTTTGATTAAAATAAGAGAATCTCGACAAGAATAAACTAAAATTCAAATTTTTGTTTATTCTTTTTAAAAAAATATTACAATTCTAAAATTTGGCCATTATTCCTAAATAAAATTCTACTTTCAAAATCCCTTGTTGAAATATAATTGTTTTCTGACTTAATATTGATAAATACTATATAATATGAAATTTTCCTAGTGATATGAATATTATAACATTTTATTTATTAATTTCTTTTTAGAGTTTTGACTAGTTTTTGCTCAAAAAGCTGAAATTTTATTTTTCAGCTTTTGTACAGTCTTAGAATACTGTGATGGTCATGATTTAGATTTCTACCTCAAACAACATAAAAATATTCCTGAAAGAGAAGCCAGGTGTATTATTATGCAAGTCGTTCATGCCTTAAAGTACCTGAATGAAATCAAACCACCTATTATACATTATGATCTCAAACCTGGTAATAACATTCTTCTTCAATTAGTTATTTATACCTATTCAGAAATAATTTATTATTAAAATAGCATTTACGAAAATGTTTTGAAGATTATTTAGTTGTCAAATTTCAAAAGTGTCTTTTTTTTTCTTTTTTTTTTATTGTTTTAAGTTAGTTTTTAGCTGATATTTACTTTTTCTCATAGTAATTCAATAATTATTTTTAATACAGATTTTAGCCTGACAAATTTGCAGAATTATAATGAGTTATTAAATTTTTTCTATTTGAGAAACTTTATCTTCAATAATTGAAAACTTCTTAGCATTAATACATGATAATTCAAAACTTCAGTGTTTCAAATTTATACAACCTCTATAAGCTTCTAATTGAACCGAAGAAACCTACCAACTTTTACTCATTTATAATGTATGTAAAACTTGATTGGTTTATTTATTCTCTTCTGCACTCACGTTGAATTTTTTAAAAAAAAATAATCTTCTGTCTTAAAACAAATTTCATTTTTTGAGTGTTCACCAAACTAATATAATGAGTAAGTACTTAGAAATCAAAACCAGATAACTATTTTTATTATTTAGATAGTTTATTATTGTACATGGTGTATAGCGTTTTTAAAAAGTGCTTATTTTTCGATTTTTCTTTAAAAGTGGGGTTTTTTTCTTCATTTTGTGTTTTTTAAAGAGTGCTTAATTTTCCTTTTCAAGAATGAGATTTTTGTTCATTACCACGTCGATTTTTGCCACATATTATGCAAAAGCGTGGTTTTCACATTGTTCTATTCAACGTTATCACTATTCATTCAACCACAATCCATTTTGGCATACCGTCGATCTGTAGCGTATGAAAGCGCCCATCAATTTTCATGTTTGACGAAATACTTACGAATCCGTATGAGCATCTACTGAGCTGGTTTCTGTGAGATTATTGCACTCTCGTGTGCAACTCTGCTGCATTTTGCAAGATGTTCTGAATTTCAGTCTTCATTTTACACCCTCTGTTATCCTACCAAAAAATCTCTTGATCATTTAATAATGGCTAATATAATCAAGTGAAGAGTTCTTTGTCAGAAACTAGTTATTTTATCATAATCATGTAAAGTCTGAAAATTATTTTGCATTTTGTTAATATATATAGTGCTTAAAAATATTTTTTGAGTGCTTAAAAAGTCCTCAAAAGGTGCTTAGTTTTTGTTGAAAGATTTGGCTATGCACCCTGTTGTAGTATTAAAGATTTATTTATTGTTTAGTTTAAGTTAAATAACGCATAAAATCTGGGATTAAAGTTTGAGTTATACGTATGCTGTAATAAGTAGATGAGTGCATTTAAGAATCGTGCAACACTTCAGTTCTAGACAGCCTATCTTTATAGTATCGTCTTGTGTTTTTTTTCTGTCATATCTAATAATTTGTACATTTATCATTGTCTTCTTCATTGTTATCAGTTAATAGTATATTTTATCTATTTATAATAATCTATTAGTATATTGTATCTAGTGTTATTTTGAATTGATTGAATGTGCTGATAATTGATTGTTGTTCTAGGAAACATTTTACTAGGCAGTGGGGAAATTAAAATAACAGATTTTGGATTGAGCAAAATTATGGATGATGAAAATTATAGTCCTGAAGTAGGAATGGATCTTACTTCTCAGGGTGCTGGAACATATTGGTATGTAAATAATAATTTTATTTTTAATAAAAGTAGAAGTCAGGTTTGTGTTAGCAATTATGACTTTTGAATTATTAGCATTATTGTTAGTATTGTCATTAATAGGTGTTGTTTTTTTATGTGCGTATAAGGTTGATTTTATTCATGTTTACAGTGACATATTTCCAGCGTATCTGCGCATATGGAAAGTCATGAATTTTAGTATTGAACAAAATTAGTCGTGAAATGTCATGATTTTAACTTTTTTTTATTTATTTACTTTTTTTTTTTTAATTTTTTTTATTTTTAAAAAAACACGGATTTGGGTCGCCGAATTGGTCTAACTTTTAAAATGGAATCCCCACCCGATTTCATGGTGTTCTGAATTTCTAATAAAATCCCCACTCAAAGTCATATTTTATTATAATATAAAATACTTTTATCATGTGTTTTAAAAATTATGGTGCACTTTAAAAAAAATGAAAGAAAAAACATCATTTCTAGATCGAATTATGTTTTAAACTTCTGTGACTTCAGAATTTTTATTTATTTTTTTATCAATTAAAAACTCTAGCTGAAGCAAGTCGGTCATTGGCGAATTTTTTTTATTTCCGAAATGAGAACAGAAAAATCGGGAGTATTTCTTTCCTTTCGGTTGAATAAGAAAAGTAAATTTAGAATATAATTCTGCAGAAAAAAAGAAGAAATTATTTGCTTTTGTATTTTTTTTCCTGCTATTTTATTGTTTCAACTCTTTCTTTACTCTTTTTTTTTTAATTTAATGTCTATAAATATGAAAATGCAGAGTATAACAGTTTTGATTATACCTATCATTTCAATTAATGTTTTTTTAATATTGTTGGGTTTTTATCTCAGAAAATAGTGTTTTCCTTAAGTCATGAAAAATTCTTGGAATTAGTAATAAAAAGTTATGGATTTGAAATTCTAAAATGTAGCAGATTCTCAATTTTGATAATTTAATAGTAGCTAATCATTTATCTGAAATTCCAAGTAAATACTTCATTTGTGTAAAATAAAAGTTTAATCCTTGAACTAACATTTGACAATATGTGTAAAACAAAGTTTTTGAAAAATAAAGTAAATTATTTTATTTTATTTTATTTACAATTAAAATAAAATTTTAGAATATTTTCGTTCTTAAAAGACTTTTTCTATTCCAATAGTTGACTTGTTGCATGCAGCTTTTTCATTTTCTCTAAGATTTATGCTTTTCCTTGAAACATAAATCTATTGTCTGAGTGCTAATGCTTAATTGTAAAGTTTTTAGTTTTAATTTTAACAAATAATTAAATTTACTTTAATGTGTTAAATATAAATGAATCATCATATTTATTTATTTTTTTAGAAAAAATATCTGTTAAATGAATGTTACTGTTTTTTTTTTATCATTTAAAATATTTTTGTACCTTAAAAATTTTAACTTTTAATTTAGTGTGACATAGCTCTGAATTTTCACAGAATCGGAGAAACCTCAACAGTCAGGGAATTAAATTTTGGGGAAAAAATAATGCCTCTTTATTAGCCAAAATGTAGAAAAATTCCTGCAATAACCCTGTTAAAAATCAATCTTAAAATTCACAACAACAAGTCATCAAAAAAGTTTACATTAATTACTACTTATAACATCTACTACTATAATTTCTTATAATTTGTTATATGATTAATTTTTCGTAAATTTATTAGAATTAGAGCATTAATTCATATTTACTTTACTTTTTAACAATTTCTGGTTCTTACTTTTCTCAAATACCATCATATTTGCTGTACAATATACTATGATTTTTTATATATTTAAATTTATATTTTTCAATTTTTCTTTCTTACACAAATTATTGTTTTGATCTATAATTTGAGTTATATAATCTACTGGTGAAATATATAACTGACATATTGAACTTTCTAGTCAAATTTTATTTCTTTCAAAATTAATCTTAACATTTGCTATAAAGAAGTAAGTTTCATTTCGTATTGAACAAAACATTTTATATATCTAATTAAATTATACCATGCCAAACAAAATGTAAACTGGAAACTGTTTTATGCATTTGACTCAATCTATCTAGTCTCTTATTACTATTATTATTAAACTTTCTTAGTTTTATTTAATAATGATCAAAATATTATAATTATCTGACCTAAATTTCTTGTTATGATGTTTTACGTGAATATTTTCTATTCTTGATTATTTGTGTTGAGTTTTCATATTTTGAAATGTATGTATCTTGAATTTTAGGTATCTTCCACCTGAATGTTTTGTTGTTGGTAAATCTCCTCCTAAAATATCATCTAAAGTTGATGTCTGGAGTGTAGGTGTAATATTTTATCAGTGCCTGTATGGAAAAAAGGTATTGTTTATTTAATTTTTATGATTTTTAAAGTACTTTTAAGTGCAACACTTGCTGCATGCAGCCAATCAAAAATATAATCTATAATTTATGTGCAGTTATTATGTAAAAATTGGAAATTTTTATTTAAAATGAATTAAGGCTTCCCTCAAATTTTGCTTTTTAAAAAAAAAATCCTTTTAAAAGGAAATCCTTGCATTATTAGATTCAATTTACAGGAAAAAAAAACCTTTTTAAATAAAAATAAATATTTTACCAAAGATGTTTTTAGTCATTTGTATTACTTATTTTTTATAATTAGAAACTATGCATTAGGAAATCCCTATTTTATCTATAAAAAAAATTTTCTAACTCTATAATTTATTCTATATTTGACTGAACGGATACTCTAAAATTCATAGTATATCTTAAAGATAATGAAATAATTTCATTTCTAAATCTGTAATAGTATGCATTTTTAATGTTTGAAGATATGACATAAGAAACATATTTTAAAATTAGTATAATGTTTTCCATTTCTGTTTTGTTAAAGTATTTTTATTTTTTAAAATTTAATGCATGTACATGTAGTGAACATTTCAAACATATTTTGCAACTTTTTAGAAAGTAATCAAGATTATTAGCTTAAAAATGTTAGAATTATTTAAGAAAAATGTTTTTAAAAAATGTGTGGAAATATACTTGCTGTAATTGCGTCAAGAAAAAAAAAAGATTTGGCAAACCAACTCCTTTTTTTACCCACTTGAAAAATGTGTGTTGTTTTGGGTTTGATGGCGTGCGCACCTTTATGTGGACGTCATGACGCTTTTCTACTGTGTTCAAGAGTAATAGTAAACAGTGTGCATGCCTTGCAATAGCAACTGCTGCTGTTTGATAATTTTTTTTTCCACCAGCAGGCATTTTAAATGTATTTGCATAATAATAATTTAAAGTATTTTTATATTCCTTTTATTATTAACGTATAATTACTGGCCTGAGGGTGATTTCAATATAAATATGAATGCTGAAGAAGGAAAAGTGTTTTGTGACGTCTTGAAACATGTATAAAGGCAGTTTTTACAGCCTCCTTGATTTGAAGTGTTGTGGCGTTTATCGAAGTCAATCCAGAAAAGAAAAAGAAAAAAACATTTGACCAATGGGTAAATGTTATTATTTGACCAATGGGTTTAATGTTATTATTATTTTTAATTTCTGAGTAGAAGGAAAAAAAAAACAATTTAATTTGGGCAGGTGGAAAGCTGGACAACCTTGTTTATATCACTTTGTATTACGATGAAAATTCTTTTTCATTTATTGTTTTTTATATTAAAAGTGTTGCAATTAAAGACATGTTTTATTTTTAGCCATTTGGTCATAATCAGTCTCAAGCTACAATATTAGAAGAAAATACTATTTTAAAAGCTACTGAAGTAGAGTTTCCTGCCAAACCTGCTGTTAGCAGTGAGGCCAAAGTAAATATAAAGCTTTTTCTAATACACATGTTTATCACATTTTTTAAAATGATTTATTATTATTATCTTAATCAATGTTACTTTTTCCTACATTTTTTAAATTTATTTGCTTTGTTTTATTTTTTAATGAAAATTTGAATGTATATCAATGAAATTTAATTTTTGCTAGTTTAACATATTTGTCGAGCACTATTTATGCTGTCATCATAGCTGCCAACTCTACTGGATTTTGCAAGTTTCTCCTGCTCTACTGCTTTAATAATAATTCTTCGGGTTGTAAATTTTAGAAAATTCCCTAATGAAATAGAACTATTGTGCAAATTATTGCTTGCTTGAATAAGTGTCACAAATGCATAATAAAGAGAGCCTCATTTACGAAATTCAGTTAAACTATCTTTGAATTAAATGCCTGTTACTATTCAAAATTTTGAATAAACGTAATGCATAACATTTCAAGATCATTAAATATGGAATCATAACTGGAAAATATTTAAGTTTTTCTATTTTGAAGACTATAAAAATTCCTGACATTCCCTATGTGTAAAATATTTAGTATATTTTGCAACAATTGTTATGAAATAAGTATTATTTTGTAAAATCTGTTGGATTTCTTTCTATCTGAGTTAGCAGTTATGTATCATTGAACGAATACTGCCAATTTTTTGATAATAATTTACTTACTACAAAATAATGAAGAACTTTCACGCGGACTGATTTGTGAAAAAGAAATAATAATCAGAAATCCTTTATTTATTTTGAAAATTAACATTTTGAAAGATGCATAGCATTTTTAAAAAATTGCTTAAAGGTGATAATTTTCCCTTTTCAAAAATGAGATTTTCTCCTTAATCTTGACAACTTTCGTCACTTATTATGCAAAAGCGTGCTTTTTACATTGTTCTGCGTGTTTTTCACATTGTTCTGTTCAATGTTTTCACAATTTATTTAACCACAATCCATGTCGGCCTACCATTGCTTCATTATGAAAACCAATCATTTTACATGTTTGATGAAATACTTAGTTTTATCATGATAATGCAAAGTGTTTGAAAATTATTTTGCATTTTCTTTAATGTATATAATGCTTAAAAATATTTTTTAAGTGCTTAAAAGGTGCTTATTTTTTGTTGAAAGATTTGGCTATGCACCTGTTTTAACTACAATGCAATACTTTAATATTTATTCTGATAACTTAAGATAATTTTTCAATGCAAAAATTATAGCTTATTATTTAGTTGCACCCATCCATTTTAAGCTAGGCATTGAAGAATTATTTTTATTAGAAAATTTTAACAGAATTTATTGAAATCTTAATTGCTGTTTTTCTTCTTTTCAGAATTTTATTCGGAGGTGCCTACAATATAGGAAAGAAGACAGAATAGATGTTATTTCACTGTCGGCTGAAGACTATTTAAAACCAAATTACTCTAAGCACAGTAGACAGTCAAGTACATCTCTGGACAAAACATAGCCTTCTCTCAACTAGTTAACTAAATTTTCATTTTTTTCTAATTAAATGTGTATATATAGCCTATTTGTGAGTGACAACAACACTCTGTTAAGGCATCTTCAGCTCAAAAGGTTGATTGTTGCTATTTCCTAAATACATGGAAAACAAAAAAAAAAAGAACTCTACTTCCTCATTGGTCAGCAAGAGGAGCTTGCACTTCAACCTCTAGCTGATTATATTCTGCTTCATTCCTTGTTCCTAAATCGCTCTTGAGGTCTGCCAAGGAAGTTGAAAAAAGAAGAAGAAAAAAAAAGAAGTTGCTGTGATAAGGAAAGTGTGGGTGGACTGGACACTAAAAAATTTCGCCCACACACAAGCATTGGAATTATATATATAAATATCATAATTATATATATAATAAATGTATGTATAAAATTTGGACTCAAAAAAAAAAAGGCAAAATAAGCACCATCACACTTTGATTTTTGTGATTGAATTTATTTTGTTTTTTGATGCAGCTGTCGGGAACTAGCTCTCGCTGCGGTCTGTAAGTAGTGTGTACAATGAAAGTGTGTAAATGTGCATTGTGTGCTTGGAATTAGTGTGTGGCCTATGTGAAGAGATGGGTTTAAATGTGTGTGTTTATTTGAAATAGAGTTTGAATGTGATGATGAAAGCTTGACAATTCCATGCTTCCAGAAGTAGTTTATACATTGGGCTTTCTTCAAACCCCTCTCCTTGTAATGCTGTTGTGTATACAATAAGTCAATTCCGTGAAAGAATCATTGCAAAAGGGTAAAGACGGAAGTCGGCAAACAATAAATATGAAAATGAATTATTTGTAGGAACTTAGAACTTTAGTTTTTTGAAAATATTAAATTAAATTTATAGCAGGGTTAGCTTTTTTATTTTAAAAATTCGTATGTTATGAGACAAGCCAGGGGTTTGTCCAGGTCAAATTTTAGCAGTACCTTCACAAATTCAACTTTAGAAAAAACGGTAGGGTAAACTGAGATTCTCCGCCTCTTAAAATTTTGTTTTTGTATCCCCACAAAAAAAAAAAACTGTAAATCGCAGAGTTTTTTTAAAAATTAAGCAACGAGGTTCTCTAAACACAGGAATTCCAAATTCAAACATTATCTTCATTATTGTAAATTTATTCTAACAGACCTTTATTTTTTATGAAATATTTTTTTCTCTCTATGAAACTTTTTTCTGTCTGACCTAGTCGAAAATAATGAAAGTTCTGATAATGAAAATAACTTTTAGTTCTAGTTCTTCTAAATGCAAGTTAAAATTTAACTATGGACAATGAATTTTTAAATTTGGATACAATTTTAAGCTCGGAATTTTACAATAGCAAAATTATTTTCTAATATATGGGGGAAAATATTTGGAAATTTTCCAGTCATAAATGATTTTTATTTGTAGTGACAATTTTTTTAAATAATTTCTTATTTTACCATATTTTGGTGTTGATTTTTAATGTGACTTTTAATTTTCACAAAATAGGTACTTCTCCAAAAAAACCTAGACAGACCCCTGCAAGCATCAATAGTTGATTTAAACTTTCTAAAACCTAGCATGGGATCTTGTGATCGTGATAAAACTTAAAAATATAAAATAAACCTTCAGTTTCATGATTAAAAAAAAATTTATTCAAGTTAAACTTAATTTTTAAGTATTTGACAGAAGGTTTTTGCCTTGGTAGAAGGTATCCGTTTGACAAAAATTTTTTGACACTAATGCACCCATTGATAAAAGTGTCAAAAACTTTCCAACCCTGAAAATCTCTTGTTTTAAATTCTGAAATAATGTTACTTATCTCATTTGTTACCTCTCATTTTTTGTTTATTGATAGTTTACTAGAATATTTATAAGCTATTCTTCATACATCTTGTATTTTTTATTCCCAGATAATCATTATTTATTGTGTGGAATTGAGTCAAAGTTTTTATAATTATTTCTTTCAAACTTCTTACTTTAATTCTACCAAATATGAATTTTAAAGTAAATCGACATATTAATCATTAAATTTATTTGTAATGATTAGTTTGAAAAAAATCATAAACCTTTTTATCTTAAACGCAGTGTTGCCGACAACCAAAATTTTATCTATTCATTTGTGAATATGGTTGAAAAAATTGTTTAATGAGATAACAAATCATAATACTTTAAACTGAATATATCAGTTTTCATTCAAACATTTGAATTACGGAATTGTTGATATAGGATCAAATATCTTAATATTTTCCATTGTTTTTAGGAATTACGCATTAAACTAAATTATTGTTTAATCATTACAAGCGATTAAATGTAAGTTCTATGTATGTAAAATTTTGAAACAGCTATACAATCAAAAATTTAAAAATCTAAAATTCTTAATCAAATAATTGTTAATGATTTCGTAAATTAATTAACCCTAATTCATCTCTTATTTTTTCTGAGTTAATTATTTTTCCTTTTTCAATTATGAAACATTGTTTTAAATTTTTATCCTATATTCCGAAAGATCCTGAGCAAGGGACAGTTTGAAAAAATGGCAAATACCTGAATTTTAAGGAAAGCAAAATAATTTTTTATAAATAATTTCAACAGTGATAAATCTAACAGCATTTTTTGTTCATCATATACATATGAATTGTGTAAAAATGTGTCCATGTTTTTGTTCAAATGCAAACATATTTCTTTCATCAAACATATCTCTTTTTTTAAGCTATTTAATGCTCCTATATTTATAAAAACATATGTGTTCAGCCCAGTTATGCTCAATGACTAATGTTATTTGATTGTGATGCTAGTTTTTGTTCCAATAGTTAGTGTGAATTGAATAGAAATCAAAATGATATTTGTTTCATTTTGTGTATATTGGGATATTTATCACATATATTAGACCTATAATCCTGCCTGTTAATCATGCAATAGTCTTATGAATTAAAAATTATGCTTTACTATTTATAAGTGTAAGATCTTAGGTGCAGAAATATTTGGAAGCTGATATGTAAAAAAAAATAGTAAATTGTTGAAAATGCCTTGTTGAAAAAATGTAGGTAGCATTTTTGATAGCCTGTTAACCCAATGTGAAGCAAATCAAGAGTTCCTACCTATGATTTGATGTCATATAATGGTATTATGGCACCTTTTATTTTAAGATTTCTTTAACTGATTTTTTTATAATTATGTATGAATTACCTATATTATTACTCTATTAGAGGTGTCTGTGCTTGATGCTTGGAGAGTGTAAACATTTTAAGTTGTGTAATTCATTGAGTTGTGTAATTCATCATTATATAATTTTTTCAAAACAAATAAAACATCAAATAATTAAACTTTTAATGCATTAAATATTTTATTGCCCATATTCAAATAACCTCAAAACTTCCCATAGTTGATTAATTTTAATTTGACTGAGGATCTTCAAAAATGTTCAAACTGATAACCCACAGGATGTTGAACATTTGAATTATTAAGCAAATAGTTAATAAAAATAATTATTTGGAGTGTAAAACATTTCATTAAATCTAAGACATTTTGGGCAACAAAAAAAAGTTATCTTCAGATTTCCTTGTGAATATAATCAGTTTATTTCACATTTTTTGAAAAAGAAGAAAAAAAAGCATTGTTTGTTTGCATGTCTTATGCTTCTGCCAGAATCAGTTCTGTGGATTGGGATATTGTACCCACTTAATTATATTTTCAAACAATCCTAATACCTTTCTTATTATTAATTCTTCTAATGTTTACAGTCTTTGTTGCAATTTTGTAAGGCACAAAAGCATTAACAACTGAAATTCCCAGTACAGTTAAATAACAGGTTTTTGTTACCATTTGAATGCTTTTAGTCTGAATAATATGTACCATACTTTTCCTTATTTTATTCAAATATGAGCCAGCAGTGCATGCTTTGTGCAATGGCATACAATACTGGCATAGAATTCAAAACTATGAAATCTCTAATTCATATTTATCAGAACTTGAAAACTCTTCAAGCATTTGAAAAGTGTCACTAACTCTCCTATATAGTTAAAATTTCTAATTTTGTTTCCTATGATATAAATTGCTTCCTTTAATAAGTTAAGCTTGCCTTTTAAACTTCCTATACAGCTTAGTTTTTTCATATTACTGTCTTCCATGCTTTTAAAGACATAGTACAATAAGTCAAATTTTAAATCTAATATGCCTTTTATAATCTTCTTCACCACATATTTTTTTTTTTTCTAATTTCATTTGAAGTGGTGCATTATTCCTTAATAAGAGTCATTATCATGTAGAGTTAAAGGATATTTGTTGAAATTAATTGTTTAATTTTATTTTCAAATTCAATGACATAAAAATAAGCTTTTTTTTTTGTTGCAGTATTTAAAAATATGCAGTGATTCAGAGGTTTCCCCCCTTATAATGATTGATATTGTATCGACTAGTTCAGAAAAGTTTAGTATGGCAAATTAGAATGGAATTATTATTGTTACAGTAATACAGAATGATATTTTTAGTGTTCTTGAAAATTTTATTATTTAAAATTATAGTCCTTTTTTTTTACTTGTTCCAAAAGAGTAAATTTTATTTATTAGTTGCAGTTTATGCAATTTGTGTAATTTTATTTATTCAAACTTTATGATGATTTGTACTTTTGAATAGAATATATTTATGATCAATCTTCAATTATTTATATTTGAAATGTGCTATTCTGAATATTTTTTACATTATTTAAGCTTAAGTTCTTATGCATGTTTGTTTATTTAAACTTTCTTATTTTGAGCTTCTACCTATTAGTGTGAATCTTATAATTTCATGTCATGTGTGTTACTTTTAACTTAAGCTCTTAAATTTCATTTGAAGTTTTATCCTTGGCATTTCTTTAAAGTTATGTGTATGATTTTAAATGCATCAGATTAATTTATCTATATATATTAAAAAAAAGAAAAGGTTAGATCTTTGTAGTGTTTTGTCGTTTGACAAATTTAAATAATTAAATATAAATTAAAAATGTCTGTTTATACATTGAATTTGAGTTACTAGTCGTAGCTTAAATTTCGATTTTGAAATTATTTTTATTGTAAATCATTTAAACTAGTTATAATTTTAGAATAATAAATTTCACCAGCATGTCGACAAATAATTTTAATTTTCTTTATATTACATTTTTTTTTGCTTTAAAATTTTAAGCTAACTTTTTTTCTCCATAGTTTATAGACACAAATTATAAAATCAAAATCTCATATATATATATATATAAACAAAAACCTTGAAAATAAAACATATTCTTACTCAATCAAATTCAGTAGGTATTTCAAATCATATATATATATATATGTATATATTAATAATCGATTAATAAGTTCATTGTAGCTAAAAATAAGCTTTACTTTTAAGTAAAATTGTGCAACAAGGTAACTTTTCATAATGTTTTAAATCAGGACTTAAAACTCTGCAACTTAGTTTTTCGAAACTGAATCTATATAATGATTTGCTTCATAGACAGTTAATGGAATTTTTTTTAAAATAAATGACATGTCTTCTTTTGGAAAGTAATTATTATGATTTTTAAGTTAAGAAGTTGTGATTAATTATTTTTAAAGAATTGGTGATGCTTTATGATGAATGTGAATTTTGAGAATCTGCATTTTTTAAAAATTATAATATTTTAATAAATTTAATTATAATGAAACATATTTAGACAAGAAAGTTTGCTAGAAGTTGATGTTTCTTTATTTCAAAAGGAGTTAAAGCAAGAATATCTCTTCATAGCTTAAAACTAATATCTAACTTTAGTTTCATATCATTGTTCACAGATAGATGTTTAATGCAGATTGTCAACCATAAAACAATATTCACCTTAAAGATATTTTTTTACATAAAGGGTATAGTTTTATGAATTAAGCAGCATTTAAAATCATACATTATTAAGTTAATTTGTTCCAACTAGTTCTCTTTTGTTTTCCTCCTAGGGTGATGTTATTCTTGCATTATAATATTATGTTCCGTAATGAATAACACATCCTATTATGGTTGAAAATTTTAATGCCAAATCTCAGGGAATTGTAAATCCTTGTTTACTCTAATTTACAATTAATTTGTAAATAATGGTTATATTACTGAACATATTCATTCGCCATATTTCATTTTGGGATTTTTTTTTTTCATCTGATAAATTAAGAACTGCATACTTGTTTGTGTTTACAAGAAAATTTCTGAAACACTAGAGCTCAGATATAAAGATAAAAAAGAAAGAATTGTACTGCACTGTTTACTTAAAAGCTGAAGTTTAAAGACTGTTTTGCTGTTGGAAGCACTAGTTTGTTTCCATCTCCATTATAGAGCAAACAGTTTCATCCTGTGAGTTGAAACATTTCCTTGTAAATAAACATTGAAGAATAAAAAGAAAAGAAAAAATGTCTTAATATGCCTTTTGAAATTATTAAAATAAAAAAGGGAGTTGTGGAGTTGAAGTTATGCCATGTGATTTCAGGTGCATGAACTTGGCTGACAACAAATTAAATAAAAAGACGTGTGTAGCATTTTATGCAGATTTAGTGTGCTTGTCATTTATTTCACTCACATATTTAAAGAAAGTTTCTTCCTCAGTGAGAAGACCATTCTGGAAGAAATTGTTTTATCGAAAGAACTATCTTGTATTGAAACAG